GGGGGGGGGGGGGGGGGGGGGGGGGGGGGGGGGGGGGGGGGGGGGGGGGGGGGGGGGGGGGGGGGGGGGGGGGGGGGGGGGGGGGGGGGGGGGTGTTTCCCCTCAACCACCTGAGTTCTTGTCTTCATAATCTCTGTCTGGAAGCAATAGCAACCCTCCAGAAGTCTTCCCTAGTGGTCGAAAAGCAGAGGTTCAACATAATTCCTTTCTATATCTATCTTTAGTCTTGCTTCACCACTCGGCTGTAGAATTAATTAACAGTTCTTGAGTCCCTCCCACATCACAATCAGCTGGCAAGCAAATTATTTAATCTTTGCTGACTATGAGACATACGATGATGTGGTAATCAAAATTATTGCAATCTTTATACTCTAAATATTGATGATGTGATAATCAAAATTACAAGCCTTCTGGATTCGTCTCATTGTAGAAAATGGACTTACCATTTAATGAGGGATGAGAAGAATGACCAGCGAGATGCAATATAAACATACAGAAATTGCAGCTCCAGCAAGGAGATTATGCAGCAACCGTCTATTATCTTTTGTAGGTACAAAGGTTGATTTCAGTGTATTGGTTAATTCAAAAATCCGGAGGGACACCTGCAAAACAGAAAAGGTATAGATAATGCAAGATCGATCGCGAGTGTTAAGCAAGGCCCTCGAAGATTTTAGACTGCGAATGTTCTTACTATGACATAGATGGCAGTTGTAAGCATGAAGTTGAGCATCGGGTATTCTGGGATGATTGAGAGAAGCCACTTTGGCTGTCCATTAGACACATTCGATCTGTACGCCACAAGCATAAATTAGACTGCAAGTACAATAAACTATTTGCATAATAAACCCTAAAAATCATCACGTACATTTTCTAAAACCAAAAAGAATATTTATCCATGGAACAAGTTGATTTTTAGAGGAAAAAAAAAAAAAAAAAAAAAAACTAAGGATGGTTTCAGCAGTATGGTAGTAACTTCTTAAATGCTTAAAATTAAGAATTTATTAACAAATGCGAGTTGAAGGCAGCACGATGTAAGAACAATTCTTATCTTCCAGGTTTTAATGAAGATTAGACTTTGGTAAAAAAAAGTAAATGATTGAGTAGTTATACAATGATCTTAATATACCTCAACCATATATGGAACTGTGAAATATAGGTCTCCAACGTTATCTTGCCAAGCCACCTAACAACACAATGATCAAATAAAACATGCAAAATGAGGATTAACGCAATTGAATCTGAGCTTTATAGTTGACAAACGAGAAAATACATACGCAAAGAGGGTCAAAGAGTAGCTTCGCAATTGCTGAGTAAAGTTTCGTAAGCAAATGTAAACACTGGAACCACAGAAAGCAAACGAAACATTAAGATAGTTGCAATTTCAGTGCACCCAAATTTCGTATTTGCCAGCCATCGTGTGGGAGGATAAAAAAGACTATAATATTGATTGATGTAAATATAAGATGTTCAATACTCACGTTATAGGAATCCACGATGTGTAGGGATGATATTTATTGTAAGTCACTTTGTCCAGCTTGTAAATGTACTCGTACCACATATAACCAGCCTAATCATGGAAATTAGAATAAGATCAATTGTACTGAAAGTATGAAAACAGATTATCAAAACTAAGCAGATAAAAGCACTCCAAATTATGCCACTTACTATAACAGAAACAGTAACAATGCTTGTCTTGACCGAAATTCTCTTCCTTGCTTCAGCTTCCTCCAATTTCTCCATCCATTTTTCAACCTGGAAATTGAGAAAATTCAAAATTCAGTACCTGAAGGACCAAGACAGCAAGATCCATGAAACTCTGATGTCATCAAACGTTTACTAATTTACATTGGGGTGATAGTATGCATATATCATGCCGATGATCCATATATAGCGATCTAGACCAGATCTAAAATGCCACTCGTGCAGTTTGGGAAGATCAACTTTTGCAGGATCAGTATACCCTGTCAATAAAAAGAACAGAAAAAGAATCATTATACTTCACATTATCAGATACGCAGATAAAGGAGAACTTCGCAAATAAACTTGTCTTGGAATCACCAAAATTAACCATATTCCATAAGTTGCACAATTCACTAGATAAAATTACACTAAAGCACGAAAATGACCAGTTAACCCAGCCATATATGGAAAGGGAAAACGTGTTTTGGATGTATTCTCATAAATAACATATTTTAGATTCTTTTCTCCCTTTCTTTTAAGAATGAGGTTGTCGTTCTTTTCAAAATCACGGACTTACGGATAGAAATTTCAATGAGTGCAAACATCAATTTTTGCAAGTTATTCAATCACACCTTTCTCGAAATAATTTTAAAAAGAAAAACAGGAACTACGTTCAGAACAGTTTTCCACTTGATGTCTATCAAATTATTACCTTCATCTGTTGGAGGAAAAATGAAAAAAAAAAAAACCAACCTAAAAGGAATGTAAATGGACTCCAGATGATGTCAAAAACTCCAGGAATTTCCCAGACTGCAATAACCACAAGGAAGCAAGCAAGGATCTTTGCAATCATCACTGATCTTATCTCATTGTACTTGTTAAAAATTCCAAGAGCTCCATACACCATGAGAGTAAAAAGTGTATGCATCGGACAGATGTAGTACAGCATGTAGTCATTGGAAAGAATAATACAGCAAAAAGCGACAAAGAAATTTAGTCGCCACATCATCTGCATCAACAATTAGAAAAAGTCGAGCACTGCTGGTATCCTGGAAGTTCAGGGTAGAAATTCTAGAAAAACTTGAAGGGTGAAACAATTATGCAGCGCTGGTTATTTCTATCAAAATAAAAGAGAGAGAGAGAGGGAAAACACCTGAGCAAAGCGTGCCAAGCTAAAATCCTTTCGAATATAATAGTAGGAGAAGTTTCCAAATCCAGTCATCCACACATAAGCAGCAATAAATACCCGTATGGCATTATAAATTTCCGTCGCAGCAAAATAATGGTACATTAAAAATAGAACCTGCAAAAACCAAAAAATGTGTGAAGGCAATCACAATGTTGAGAAGCACAATAAACTGATTGATATGTACAATTAATCCAAAAGAGAGCAACAAGCACGGGCTAGAATTGCCCAGAGACAAGGTTACTTAAAATCAAACAAATATGGAAGCTCTAAGTCCTGCAATTAGTACAAAGAATCAATTAAATTAAATCAGATGGTAACTTCTCTTTGGAATATATCATTTTTTTCCATCACGTGGAAATCTCTCTTCAATATATACCTGTCCCTTAACGTCTTGACCAAGAAGATCCCAACACTACATTTAAAATTATCTAATAAAGGTTAAGCATTGTACATAAGAGATATGAAAACATCTTCAGTTAAGGCAAGAAATACATCTTTTGACAGCTACAACTGCTAAAGAAATGACAAAAAGCATCGGCCCCTCACACTTATTAATTAAACTTGCACCCAAGGTTTCTTAAGGTAATTTGTTAACGGGTCATATCTTCATTGTAGAGAACTTGCCTGCATCCACCCTTTCCATTCCTCTGTTTGATGTCGATTTAGGTAAAGTATCGCCTTTCCAGAAAATGCTGATTTATCATTGTGTTTCTTCAAAGACGTCATTGCAGAAACAATGATGAGAAGGATGTAAAGAAAGAGGAAGAGATCCCGATTGTAATTCTGCTCAAGAAAAAACCATCGATAGTTAGCTGACTAAACTAAATTCCATCGAGATTCAAGAGCATCTATCAGTAAGTATGATTGTTTCCCTTCTTATTCTCTAAGAAACATGGTAATGTGAGAAATCTATCAGTTATATGGATATGTAGCAAAAACAAGTGGTTGAAATCAAGTCCCTATTTAATTGTGTATAGTGCAAATATATGTGCATCAAGTACAGAAAAAAGGCAGGATGGAAGGGAGGAGACAATCTAGGAAGGGCCAAGAAAGAATTGGAAAGCCAAACCCTGATAATTAATCCGAAAGAGCTTTTGCATAACATTTAGTCCAAGTTTATGGAAGTTGGAAAATATAAAGCAGAGAAGCTTACATCACTACACCAGTGTAATAAAGACACGGTGCACTTCTCAAACTCAAACTATCAGAACAATATTTAGATTGCCACATAGAATGAATTATAATCAAAATCCAAATACAGGTAGCCATTGGACAAGAGATAAGATCAAGTTCAAGCACCTTCTTAGAATCTCCCAATATATTTGTGCGGTCACATACGTAGAAGTACACAAGAATTGCCCCAAATTCAGATCTACAAACAATGGTCGACGAGTATGTGACTGTAAGCTACAAGTTTTTGTGTCCCTACCTGCCAAATGCTAAATTAACAACTTACATTGCTCTCAATGTAGCCCGATTTTCCAGCAAGAAGGACTCATCTAATGTCAAAAACCTAAGTTATAAAGTTTGAGAAGTAAGGATGGTATTTGAAGGGTGTGTGAGAGAAAGAGGTAAAGAAATATATCAGGAAATAGAAAATAACCTGATTAAGTTTGTTTTAATTGATGAACTATGCAACTTTGCCGAGGCTGATCTTGCAAGGCCTCCTTCCAGCAAAGCAGCCTCATCATCTTTAACTTTATCTCCTTTCTCCTCACCCAATTCAACAAGATTAATGTCTGAATGACTGGAATCAAAGAAAGCAACAAGTTCAGAGACCCATGACCAGAAGACTTGATAAAAGTAGCAGATCTGACAAATGCATTGGCCGAGCAAAGAAATAACTAAGTTCCAGCTCAGCCTTTTCAAGAATGAATGAACTAACTTATATCATCGTCCATGGCGTGCATCGAAGAAAATTACTCACACTTTAGAAAGAAGTCGAGCCTTCTGATACTCTAGAAACTCTGAATATACCCAGGCAACAAAAACTGGAATCACGCCCAACAAAAAGGAAACCTGAAACAGAACAATAGCTTCTGATATCACTAACAAAAGCAAGTGGCGGATAAAAAAAAACACATCAACATAAACATATGGAGAGGATGAGGATTTATTTCAGAGCATGTTCATGTTGCGTAGTTTGCAGTGTTTCCATAATTAGTTGTTTCTGCATTGGGCATCTAAACTAATTTTCACCCCAAGATCGATATAAATACATTGATTTCATTCGAGATATGAAGAAATTAAGCGGAGACTTCCCAATAATCAAAAAGTCGAAGCTATGACATCAAATTGTCAACCATTATTATCGCCACCAACTCAATCCAAAGACACAATAAATACTTCCCCGTCCGATAATATTAATTACAACTGTACCATACATGGACAATTACACAACTAAGCAGCACCCGGAAATAACAAACTCAAAGTTCCTTCGATTAATCTAGTAAATAACGAAGTAATTAAAGACAGTTGCAGGGCGAGAAATTGTACCAGGCCAGGCTTGATTCCCTCCGAATCCTCCATTCGAGATCCCTGTTAAAACCTGCCAAAATCAAATTGATCAAAAAAGGAACCCATCGCCTGAAATAGAATTATACAAAACCCCAAACTCCAAGCAACAAACATAGCAACAAAATTCATAAGAGACCAAGAAATGGAAATGCAGATCGAGAATGCCACATACCACGAATACACAAGCGTAATCAGATGCAGAAACTAGAGCCTAGCACATCCAGGATAAAATTAGAGAGAAACAAAACAAAAGAACAAACCCTAGTTGGCTAGTGGGGCAAAGATCCAACACTCCCCAGTGATATAGAAAAAGAAGGGAATGTCTTTGCTTCAAGATTGAGTAAAGAGAAGTCGATGATGGGTCGTAATTGTTGTTGTTGCGACGGTAGTTCTGCAGTGGGTCTTTTGTTGTTTTCACTCTTCCTCAGATCTTGTGATCACCAATCCCGATGTGGTTCCGCTCCAACGACAATTTATACAGTTGATAAGTTTTATAATACTTCCTATTTCACAAAGCTCGCCGGCGTTCCTTTTTTTTTTTTCCGGCTACAGATTAAGAATTAAGTTACTACCATACAAGCCAAGAACGCACGTTCGCGAAGAAAGTGACAATGGATTAAAAACGTAATTTATGAGCGAATTTGTTTTTTCGTTTTTTTTTTTTTTTTTTTTTGACGTTTCTAAAAAAAGCCCTCGCAGTGAAGTAGGAAGAGGGCGAAAAATTGCCCGAATAGTTTTAAAAATTATGTAAAAAAATAAAATATTTTAAAGTTATTGTTTCCTCTAATTTAGTTCTTTAATTTTAATATATGTTTAAATAATTTTATTTTTTTGACTTAATAATCGTATTCAACATCATGTCAATACTAACACGTTATCTCACATATTTAAATATTCATATATCAAAATGAAAATAATATAATTTAAAATTTCTTATTATTATTTTATAAAGACATTATTCTAGGAATTATACATTTATCAACAATTATTGCACCGTTCATTTAGACGCCACTAAAATAACAAATAAGCTGCATTAATTGCGTAGGGAAAAAATAATAAAATATTTTTCCCAAAAATTAATAATACACATTAATGCCCATCTAATCAAACTATATTTTGATTAACCTTTTTTGGGTACTGTATTCATTAATTCTTAGGCTGCCCTCCAAAAATAATAATAATAATAATAATAATAATTTGACGTTAATTTAAAAAAAAAATTCTTATAAGTAATCATATTGATAAAAAAAACTCTTTAAGTCAATAATACTAGAGTGATATTCATTATGTCACGCTTGAATAATTATAAACATGCAGCCTAAACTACATAAAATTGCAAAAAAAATATTTAACTACTGATATTACAAATATAACTAAGCTTCAAAATTAAAACTTTAGACCTTCCATAACACATTTCAAAATGGTAATTTTTATATTCTATTACTTTAATTAGCCCTCATGTAAATGTAGCATTAAAGTAAATAAAAAAGTCTTAAAATACATTAAAGAAACACCATAACCCTAAACTTTAATGTAACGTGAATTACAACATCTTATAATAATTTAAACGGAATTTTTTTTGCACATTTATTGAATTTTATCCAATTTTATTTGTTAATAAAAAATTAATATGGCCATCTATGAGAAGAAACAAGAAATGTTGTAACCACTTACCCATAGCTAGATATCTAAGATTTAGGGAATAACTAATCATTTAAGGCTCTTTAATATTCTTATCAGAAAAAATAAGCTCTTTATTATTAAATTATGGGAAATTAATATTTTAATATTAAAAGCTAACCCACCTTTTTGTCACAACTTTTTTGTTTTCATCATTAAAAAAAAAAAGATTTAATTATTAACTTCAATAATTTTTTTATTTTTTATTTTTTATCTCCATCACTTAATTACTTTTAATCTAGAAATTAATTGATAATCAATACATATCCCTAGATCTTAAACTATGTCAAAGGAAAGAGAAAATTAATACTTCTCTATTTATTACATCAAATAACTAAATAATTTATCATCATCCTATAATTAATATATATATATATATATATATATATATATATATATATATAATAACACAATTAAATCGTCTACGCAAAAAATAATAATAATCAGAATCCAACAGGAAAAAAATGGCTTTTTATTAAACAAATGAATAAAATTTAAAAAAAAATCCCCAAAAATCGAGTCAAAGACGGAGAATTCAATTCAATCGTTTAAAAAGAACATTATTCCCCATCACCAACCATGGCTCCAATTCACATGGGTGGGAGCAAAGACCCGACCCGATCCACGAGATTTTTTGTCACCCCCTATCAATTAATTAATTATTAAAAAGAAATTCGCACGCCTCCATTTAATTAAATTTAAAAAAAAATTTGAAGAAAATAAATAAATAAAATGAAACTCAACTAGAGCCATAAATAATAACGATAATAATAATATTGAAAACCCTACATCAGAGCCAAATGTCAAAACTTTAATTTCTATCTCTGATCACAACGCCAAATCCAAACGGCGCCATTGTTGTATGTAAAATGCATGCAAGATCGATCTTGCCAGTTTTTATGTTTATCCCAACAACGATAATCAGACCATATTTACACGACACGAGATTGTCATCAAAACCTCATTCATGGTTGTCGGTTCAAGAACGGCGGCGCCGTCGGAAAAATGTCCTGCAGAAGCCCGTAGTCTTGTTGCCGTCCGTTATAAGGATAATTGAAGCTGCTGCTTTGTGAATAAACGGACTCACCACCTCCGACGGCCTGGTTGTTGTTGACGGAAGTGTTGTTCATCAGCTGTGGAAGATACCTCACGCCACCGACCACCGGCATTGGTGCCAACATGGACGGCGGAAACGCGCCGCTCGCTGCCGACAGGTTCCCCCTTAGCGTCGCGGGAATTGGGTGATTGTGTTGCCCTTCGTACGTCGTAATTACTATGGATGGATCTTCATACGATCTCTCCACCCGTTTCTTCACTCCACATTTCTGTGTCGTGCATCTGTAATAGCTCCTGCAAATACAGTACTTATAAATTTACGATAATTTTAAAATTAACCTTCGACCCAAAATTTAATTTTTAAAATTAACTCTGGACCCAAAATTTAATTTAAGTTTTGAAGAACTGGATTTGATACTGGGATTTGAAAATCAAACCTAGGATAAGCGCTGTTCTTGACAGCCTTCTGTCCATATTTTCTCCATCGATACCCATCTTCAAGATGATCGACCTCGCTCTTGGTCATGAAAGCAACTCTGGGCTCTCTCTCTTTCTTCTCTACTTTCTTCTTTGATTTAGCCCTGTTGGTAAGAACACCCACCCACCAAAAATGAAAATAAAAAACTAAACCCTTCAAATTTAATTAAAAAAAAAAAAAAAAAAAAAGACATACGCGGTCTTGGAGCTCTCTCCGCCGTCATCCATGTCTTTGATCTGCTTATCCTTGTCTTTGAGGGAATCATCCTCGTCAGCTCCAGCATCAGAGGAGGAGAAGGAAGCGGAGGAATTCATGGGAGTCCCCGAAATTTCATTCGAGTAATCCGAGGACAGCTCAAAAGCTCTGGCTAGAGACTCGTACTCATCCAAGCCTGTTTCTGAATCACCCAACCCACCGTATCCAAAAGGGCTCGACAAAAATAGATCTTTAAACATTTCATCTGACATGGAATCAGACAGAAGAAGAACAAGAAGATCCAAAACGACGACGTATAACAAGAAGAAGACGAAGACGAAGAAGAAGCTATGGTGTTGAGGGTTTTGGTCCAGGCTTCAGGGTTCGATCGTCTTCTTCTTATATATATAAATATAAATATATAAATAAACTAGAAAACGAAAAGTGTTTAGGTTTGAATTAGACTAGCAATAATAATCATTCTATAAAGACCTTTGACGAACTGGACTCTATTATTAATAAATTAATTAAAATTACATTCTTCTTCTTCTTATTATTAAGGTCTTGAAAATATATTCATTTTCGAAAACAAAAAAATAATGTTTAGTCAAATTAATTAATTTTAATTAGAGTATTATGGATCATAATCTTTAACCTCTGCTAATATATCAATAAATATTAAAATTATTGCACATTAGTAGTTCAAAATTTTAAATTAGGTTAACAAAATTAATTATTACACACAATGTAATTTATATGCATATTATTTTGAGTTTATTATATGCGATTTTTATTAATAGTAATAATTTTTAATTTTAATGAGTAGAGATATGAAAAATAAAGTTTGGTGTATTAAGGGCTATTTAATTAAGACTAATTAATTTTTATTACGCCTAAGAAGGCCTATGTAGAGGAATCGCACTTTAAACTCACTTAATAACTTCAAAACAAATAAATTTCTCTCTTTTTATTTCATTAATATTATTTGGCTCATTTAAAGAAAAACATAGTTGACCTTTTTCTATATATAATTTAAATATATTTTTTCATATCTTAATAATTTAAGCATGTTTGATAATGATTGAGTATTACTTAAACGCTATATTTCAATTTTATAAATATTTTTTTTAAAAAAATATTAACTTACAAAAAAAAAATTAAATATCTTTAATATGTCAGCAAATTCCTAAATTAGAAGGCTGGACCAATCGATATTTTCAAAGCTTTTTAAACAGTAACAAATATTATTAATTAGGTATGGATAAATGAATATGAATGTTGTTATAAAGTATTAAAATTATTTTTTATTGTTCATTTCAATTAAAAGAAATATTTACAATATCATTCATAAATAAAAAAATTGTAATAATATTTTTAGACTAATTTTAAAGTTTAAAAATTAAAATATAATTTTGTAATTTAATGTAAAATGATAAAAGGAGAATAAAGGAGAAAGTTTTGAGTTTGAAAAGGTCAAAGGCACAATTACAGAAGAGGAAGGTAGCGCGTGAGTTATACGTCGTAGGAGAGCGAGTGGATGAGGGTGGCATGCGTAATAGTCAGTCACGAGGGGCTTTAAATCGAGTCTTTGGTCAATAATTCAAACTTTTGATTTGGGAAAAAGGAAAAAAAAAAAAAAAAAAAAAAAAAAAAAAAAAAAAAAAAAAAAAAAAAAAAAAAAAAAAAAAAAAAAAAAAAAAAAAACTGAGGGAAAATGGAGTTTGAGAGTTACACGTGCCCCAACTGGCACCGTCATTTGACCGTGGATGAAACTACATGTCGGCAAATTAACGAGCCTTTTTCCGCTGCCGCTTTCCTTACACGCCTCTCCAAAACGACAGAACGTGCCTACTATTTTTATTTCAATAATTTTTTCAGAATTTAAAATTATATATTTAATTGGTTTAAATTACATTTTGTTCATTTATTATAGTTATTTTAAAACAACATTTTATGTATTTAACATTTAAAAAACATATTTTTTAACCTATAAATTTTACCTTTATAACATCTAATATAATCAATTATTAAACAAAGAGAATAATGTGATTTAGAATATATACGTTCAGTCTTCAGTATATATATATATATTGACCATATATTCTCTATATTCTTAATTCTATATCACTTAAATTTAATGCTAAGAATAAATTATAATTAGTGGGTTGGTATTTGAATTTCA